TGTATCGCTGTCCTTCACAATCAGAATGCTCTTCCTCACATGGGCTTTGCAAAGCTTTGCTACTTCTCACCTACATTTTCCACTTCTAAGCTCTTTCTCTTTCTCCACGACCTCTATACAGCCAGCAAGAGTAACTCAACTGCTTCATTTGAACAGTGTATTTTTGTTTTTCATTCCACATCACTAATTAATGTTTTAAACTCAACTTGCACACTGGCATACCTGCTAACTATGCAGGACATCTTTGCTCAGTTCTACTCCCTCATGACAATCCTCAGGACACTTTTCTGTTTGCTTGGAGCACATTGGGGAGGGTCTGTGCCCCTCAGTGCCTTCAGGGGCAGCTTGCAGAGGACATCTCAGGTGAATAAACAACCTGAATGGTTCTGTGCCCAAAGAAAGAAAGAAAAACATAACAGTAAAAAAATACTAAAGGGTGAAAAGCTGCRTTAGTGCACTAACTCTTGACATAAAATGTTACTTCTTGTTTCTCATATTTATTTTCCCCATGCCACAAATACTCCACTGCTGAGACCCTTTTCTACCAATAAAACTCTCTCCTGATAGACAGATTGTCTATAAATTTATAGAAATTTTGAAATTTATTTGATGAAGTGCTCCAAGAGGTATGTGCCATGCCTCAAGCACTTCTGTAATGCTCTTGACAAAGCAACTAGGGATCAGCAGAAATAATCTCCCAGGTCAGGCTCCATCAAAGCCCACGTGTGCTCCATGAGGCAGTTCAGGCACGGTGACAATGGGGCAGGAATTTGCCACTGCAAGACAGAAGTGGGCACTTTAGGTGAAATATTATGAAGAAACTGCTGCYTTTGAGGGTGTTGGGCCCTGGCACAGGTGTCCAGAGGAGCTGTGGCTGCCCCTGGATCCCTGGCAGTGCCCAAAACCAGGCTGGACATTGGGGCTGGGAGCACCTGGGACAGTGAAAGGTGCTCCTGCTCTGGCAGGGGTGGCACTGGATGGCTTTAAGAACCCTCCCAAGCCAAACCAGGATGTGAAATCTGTATCTACAACAGCTGCAACTGATTTYACTTGTGACACTTCACACCTGAAACCCTTGGCTGTCCAAAAAAAAACAAAAACTGAAGACAGGCTCTGGAAATTCATTACTCCATCGCTCTCACAAGATCACTGCACACCTGAGCAGACCTGACATCATGCTCCTCTGGAAACATCAAAACCAAAAGGGAGCAGATAACACAAGGAATAAGTTACAGCTAATATTTATATGCAGGATTACTTTATTAATAAGATTTGCTGGGATGCAATTTAGGACCTGCATGCTCATCTTTCTCCTGCAATGCCTCTTACTGTTTGCTTTCAGCCTAAGGTTTAATTAAAAGATTAAAGACTTAAACAGTCATTTCTTTTGCCTGCAGAAATGCCTGTGGCATACACCACAGGGCATTGCATACGGTACAAAAATCCTACCAAGCCAAATCTTCCAAGAAGGCACAGTTTCCTACTGCCCAGCCTACTGTTGATGAATGATACCACATTTTTAATTCACTCTGAATTATTACACAAAAAGATTTGGCTCCTAATGAGAAAATATCAGTTCTATTACAATAATAAGTCTGTCAGTAAAGAAGAGTAATGACATCTTTTTTTCATCTACCCGCTGTTCAGGGAAGTCAGGTGGACCCAGCAGAGAAGAAAAAAAAAATTGATAAATTATGCTGGTTTATTTTTAACTCATTTTTTGTGTTTTCTGGTTTGAAAATGCTGCAAGTTTTCAGCSTATGCCTTTATGAAAGTATCTGTCTTGACTCCCATTGCAGTTTGTGCTCTGYTTTCTGAACCACATTTGGCCTTARAAATTACTGATAATTTCCCTGGTACTTTGCCATAACTGCATGAACTACTGGCAGTTCTATCTTTTTTTCTTTTTTTTTCTGGAGAAATGGACAGGAATACAAGAAATTAGTACAACTGAAAAAATCAGAGCACTGTCCCTTGCTGATTACTCTGCCCGAGGGATCTGTACCTCTGCTGCTGCTGCCTGCAGTTTCAGCCTGCTGTTTTTTTCCTTTTCTCTGTGAAAWGCAGCAGTTTTATTCAATGTACAGCAGAAGAGGCCATTGTATCCAGACACGTGAGGATAACCCATTCTTCCTTTCTTTGCTCTTTCATATCTTCAACTCTGGAAGTTACAACTTACACTGTGATCTGAAGTGTAAGCTTAAGTGCTGCCCAATTCAAGTCTAAATTCATGCAGTTCCTCACTGTGTGCCCCTGAAAAAATCAAAAATTACATTATCCTGTGAGAAAACAGTGTTTCCTCAACAGGCAGCCACCAAAACTAACACCAGGGAAATGCTGGTGCTGTCCTGACAGTGCATGCCTRGCATTCCTGCTTGAGCCATGTTTCTCAGGTTTTCATTTTGATACAGGAATAACAAACAGCAGTTTTGCAGKGTAAAACAAACAAAGAAAACAACTGACCACAGGCCTTAACCTTCAAAGGCTTTGGTCTATCCAGGTACTTCAACACTTGCCTGAATATAAACCACTAAATATGTGAAACAGAAGTTGGTTGAGCAACTCATTTAWGCACTTGTTAAATATCCTGAAAGAATCAGAGCCATGAGCAACACAGCCTGGCAGAAATTACACCCACCAGTGGTGAGCTGAGCAGGCTTAGTGAAGAGGATTCTGCCTTGGCTGTAACAATCAAAACCCATAAATATTTAGGATTAAATATAGTATAGGTAATCTTTTAACACTGACAGGAAAGTGGAGCAATAAATGCTAAGCAATCTGTGTATCCTATGGAAAATAAACCAAAGTGAAACACCTGTACAGGAGCCTCAGAATATTGCAGACATAATAGAATTTAAGGTGAAAACAGGCCCTATCTGTCCTTTTCCTCCCCAGGCTTACATTCAGATTAAAAGAACCAGGAAAATGTCATCCTGACACTCTGCCAAGTAGCATTAAGTACCCAAAGCATCCAGGCAAAAGAGAGTGAACAAACATAGCATCAGCTCTGTGTGTGTGTACAGCCAAAGCTTCTGGTACCCCTTCAGCACACAAAACCTCCTTTTTTGGGGTATGAGGATTAGGAACATATGAACACTGTGCTGTGGACAATCTGCTGCTTATTAGGAAAATATGAAAAAAAAAAAAAACAAACTAAAATATTTACAATTATTTGCACTGCTGCTGTCTTTCTCATAACTCACTTGGTGCCCAGTACAGTTGAGCCCAGTAATGTCAACCTGGAACAAACCCAAAGCAGTGGAAATTTAATCAGGTGTCACCACTGCCAAAGAAGAGCTATTGCAGGTAAAATATAGTTTAACTGATTTAACAGGAAAATTTTAAACACTCTTTTCTATTGTCTGCAAAGCTGGATCTTCAGAGTGGCTGATCCTGCCTGGACACACACACACACATAAAATTCCAGGCTGGAAATGAAGGGTCAACACATTTAGTTCTTCATCAGAGCAGAAAGCAAATCAAGTTGCAGGAGCAACTGGGACCTCACGCTGAGGCTGAGCTGTAACTACATCAGCAAAGGAGGTATTTTTAATTTTAAAAAGACATACTGATTCCTTCTGGCTTTACTTCCTGGCGCTTAAACGGCGTYCATCAATTATTTTTATCTGCAGTCRGCGCTAATTGCTCTCAAACCCGTGAGATGCAGCGGAGCAGTTTAAACACTTTTTGTTTTGCGCACACCTCCCTCTAGTGGGCTCAAAACCCCGTGAAATGGGCAAAATCCAGCAATTCCTGTGGAGAGACACAAGTGTTAAAAAGATAACTACCAGAGAGTACGTAATATCCTTTATGTATTTTATATAGTGTAGATATAATGCCTGTATCGTTATTATATCGACTCCACACCACCAGAAAATGGAGAATGCAGTGAAATGCTAAAAACACAAGATGCAGAAGACTGATGGGGTGGGGCGGTGGGGAAAAGCCTTATTTGACTTATAAAAATAATAAACTTATAAATAATTATGACTTGAYTGAAGCTGCTGAATAGCCTCGTCCAACACTGTCCCTGTGACCCCCGAGGCTCCCGGACACCYCCGGACACCCCTGACTGCCCAAATGACCCCAGCCCTGTCCTGGSTCCAGGATGGGCAGAGGATGGAGCAGCTCTGCTGGGAGGRAAGGCTGGCACAGCTGSGATTGYTCCAAARCAYAGGAGAAGCTTTGGGGTGAGCTCAGAGTGGCCTGAAGGGACCAAAGTGTAAGGAAAATTAATTCACAAGCACCAGARGTTTATGTCCAAAAAGGAGACAGAGGAGTCCYRCAAMTTTATTCATGAATAAAGGGAGAGGTCATGGGCATTTCCCATGGGGTCTCTCAAATTCATAGAGGACACAGCCTCTTTTATCCCAATTTCCCGGCCGCGGGTCCCTCTTTCTTTCTCTATTGGCTGAGGTACTTGAAAGTTACAGACTCCCCGAAATGCCTGATGAAACCCCCCTTCTATCATAAATTGCCTCCCCCCACCCTTTCAGTTTATATTTCTGTGTCTCTGCTCTGGTAGTTTATTTACACAGTCATAGATAAGTCAATCAAAGGAATTCCTATGGAAACCCTTCCTGTTGTTTCTTATCTCCCAGCATCAGCCTTATCTCACCCCAGAGATCAGAGACAGAGTCTGTTTGTAAAGACATTCCCTTCTCCTTTCAAAAGGAAAGACGGAGTGGGACTGGGGACAGGGGATGGAGGGACAGGACACAGGGAATGAATGGGGTCACACTGCCAGATGGATGGGATATTGGGCAGGAATTGTTCCCTGGGAGGGTGAGGAAAGGGCTGGGATGGAATTTGCTGGATCCTTTTGAGTGCCCAAGGCCAGGGGAGGTGTGAGGCGGGGGACCCTCATCCCCCTCAGGCGGCGCCTCCTCAGGGATCTCCATTCATCCCCTCCTTCCCCTCAGCGCCGCTCCCACACCCTCCGCCTCCCCTCAGCTTCCCCTCCCTCCTTCCCTCCCGCTCCTCCTCTTCCTCTTCCCGTCCGTCATCACCGTGCGCGGCCGTGTGCTGGTGTCCGTGTCCGTGTCCGTGTCCAGTGTCCAGTTGTCCAGTTGTCCAGTTGTCCAGTGTCCGTGTCCCCATGACCCGCTGGGCTCGCCGCGCCGCCCCGCCCGGGACCCGCGCTCTGACCGCCACTCCCTGGGAGCAGCTGGCGCCCAGCGCGGAGCAGCCGGAGCCGGGAGCCAAAAGGAGGAGGAGGAAGAAAAAGGAATACGAGAACCAGGACGTGAACGGGTTCGCGGCACAGCAGCAGCRGCGGGAGGAGGAGGAGGAGGAGGAGGCGCGGAGGAAGGACAGGCGGCGGGAGGGTCGGAGGCTGAGGCGGCAGGAGAGGAAGAGGAGCGCCATGGTGAGGAAAAGCGGGGCTTTATCGGCGTGTTCGCTGAGTGTTTCACATGAAAACTGCCCACAATTAATTAAACTAGGCTGGTTGAGGCTCGGGGRATGCTGGGGACAGCGTCTGACTGCGAACGTGTGTGCAGAGTAATGTAATAATGAAAGCAATATACAGCCGAGCTCTAATTCCTAATGGGACCCTGTGGGGAGAGACAACAGGGTCAGCTCATCCCTCGAGTTACAATGGAGTCTTCCCAAACTTCGCCCCGTTCCTAGCTCACTTTTATTTACTGTTTTCACTATTTATTACTGTTTTCTTTACTGTTCGGTGGAGATTCAGAGAGTTCTGTGGGACATTTCGGTGAGGGCAGGTCATACCTCACGAGTGGGTCACTCAGGATGGTTCCTGAGATAACGCTGTGGTGGRATGTGGTCAGTCCGAGGAGGGGATTTCACCACAGCTGCTGATCCAACAGAACCTCCTCCTTTATCTCCCTTGGCTTTCAGCTGCTGCCAGTGGCTGGGGACCACCGGGTTCCAGACTCTGCAAGGATTTTGGCAGAGCTGTGGGGTCTCTGCTCTGCTCCACTCTCCCCTTAGCCCCACTTGGATTGTGGGGTGTGTGTGGGGTCCCATCCAGGGAGTACACATTGTTTTCCCCTATAATTTCCCTACTGGAATTTCCCCTTTTAACTCCCAGTCACTTTCCCCCAGCCTTGTTCAAACAAAGGCTGGATGTGAGTGGGGCAGAGGAAAGGAATTACCAGTAATTACCCTGCGGTCTGAGTTCCTGTGGGTCAGCTGTAGGACTGGGACTGCGTGAGTGCTGTTTCCTTGAGCAATTTTTTGCAGCAGGACCTGCAGGGCTGGGGCAGCTGTGCTGACAAATGTGACAGTCAAATGTGACACGTGTGACAGTCAAATGTCATGCTTTATCCATGCTGCCTTCCAGGGCCTGATGGGAGCCCACAGGAGAGAGGCAGAGAGACTGGGGACAAGGGATGGAGGGACAGGACACAGGGAATGGCTTCAAACTGCCAGAGGGATGGGATATTGGGAAGGAATTGTTCCCTGGAGGGTGGGGAGAGGTTGGGATGGAATTCCATCCCTGGATCCCTTTGAGTGCCCAAGGCCAGGCTGGACATTGGGGCTGGGAGCAGCCTGGGACAGTGGGAGCTGTCCCTGCCATGGCAGGGGTGGCACTGGATGGGATTTAAGGTCCCTTCCAACCCAAACCATTGCATGGTTCCATGATGCAGGGCATGCATGTGTCCATGAGTGAATATCCCAAACTGTGTTGCTGGTAAAAGGAGAAAATTGTCCATAATAATGTGGGTTTGTGCCCATAATAAAGGCACCGAGCACTCATGGTTGTTTGGTGGCAGAGCACAGAGTCTCTTCCTGGCTGTCTTTCCCTGGGGGACAAAATTGTGTTTGCTCTTTATCCCCTGTGAGGCTGGCATTTGCAGGTCTTTGAGCGCCATTCACAGAATTTCTGCATTTTTCTCTCCCAAGGTGTGTTTCCACTGCAGAGAACCTGGCCATGGCGTGGCTGATTGTCCTGCAGTGCTGGAGAGCCAGGACATGGGGACRGGGATCTGCTACCGCTGTGGATCCACGGAGCACGACATCGGCAAATGCAGAGCCAAGGTGGATCCAGCTGCTGGTGGGTCGCAGGAATTTGTGGTGTTTTGGGGTGCTTGGGTCTAAATTGTCCTGACTGCTGAACCTGAACTTTTGGGTGTTAGAAATATAACTTCCACAGTATGATAATAAGGAACCTAACAGAGTAATTTATAGCATAAAGTGATTAAAATATTGTCATTGCACAGCCTTTGACTTCACAAATGTTGTGGTGTGGATCATAAACCGTATGGGATTTTACAGGGCCATTTCCATATGCAAAATGTTTCATCTGTGGTGAGATGGGGCATCTGTCAAGGTCGTGTCCAGATAATCCCAAGGGGTTGTATGCTGAAGGTGAGTGTGCTGATTCACTAAATTTAGTAAAATTTCTGTGTCCTTCTTACCTGATAGAGAATTAAGTAACAGTGCAAGTGAATGAGAATGCGGCTAAAAGGAATTCCTGTGCATATTTTGGTAAAAGCAGAGTAATTTTTGGRAATTTGTCATGAATTAATTACCTGGGGATTTCTGTTTTAATTGTAAGCTTTGTGTTAAATGACAAGATGAGGTGTAAAGGATGAGAGTTTGTTTGTTCTTCAGTATGAGGAGATACACAAAGGAACAAAATCCTGTGTGAATTGCAGTCAGTGTGTAGCCACATGTACACGCACCAAAGTAGGTGGTAAAAACATTCTCACCCAGTACCTTAAGATTTGGTGAGGTGGCAAAACACAGGCTCTCACCAAAGGAAGGGTGTCTTCAGTCTGAATAAATGAGAAATGGGGTCTAAGTTTGAAGGTTTCACTTCTCCATTGGCTCTGTCTCCTGGTGTTTCYCAGCACACATGTGGCATCTTGGCAAATTCCAGAGGGTGATCTTGCAGYGCAGTTAAAGTGTTACAAAAATCACCTGGCTCTCAAATGTTTGGATTACAGGTAGAATTTCAGTTTCATATCTCAGTGCCTGCAGTGCTTACCTGCATCTCAGGAGGCCCTGACAATTTAAAAAGTTCTTTACAGTATGAATATCAGTAGAATTCAGCTTGTTTCTGCAAAAGAGAGCTTTCAGCAATTTAGAAATACTCAGTAATCAGTGGCTGAAATTTGTGGTGTGTGGTGCTGTACAAACAATGCAATCCCAAACAGCTCCATCCCTCACAGACCCAGGAAGGGTGTTTTGTTGGGTGTTTTTTGGGTGTTCAGTGTTTTTTGCGTCTCAGATCAGTAACAACTTTCTGTGTGAACAGGTGGGGGCTGCAAACTKTGTGGCTCTGTGGAGCACTTCAAAAAGGACTGCCCGGAGAAACAGAATGCAGGTGAGCTGCAGGGGAGTGTGGGGTGGAATTTGGGTCCAGCAGAGTTCACTTACTGCTCTACATGACTGTGACCAGGGAAAAGGGTTTGGGAAGAGAACTTGGAGATAGCAAAGGTGACCTTTTGTTGGGATACTCAGGGAGAGCGTGGGGGAGGCATTAAGTTGCAATGCAAAACTAAGATAATTCCTTTTTTAACACAAAGTTCATTTTGTGTGTTTCTGAAGGCAATATGAAATGATGTGTATTTTTTTTTTGGCCAGTATTTGTTCACAGTGTGGCAGCTGAACAACAGAACTGGCTGCTACTTTTTGCTGATTTCAGTGTGAAGTGGTGGAGTTGACCCGATGCCAGGTGCAGGCTGGGGGTGTGTGCATGCAGGTGTGTCAGTCACTCAGGACAGGGCACAGAGAAAATCTGTCTAGCTGGAATCACAGCAAATGAACTGCTTTCTTACATGCTCTTCAGCTTTCCATGTGGGTGGAAAAATTACATTAGACACCCCAAAACCCCACTGTGTTTCATAGCATCAAACAAGGGTTTGAAGAATGATCCTGTTACTGGGGTGCATTTTTCTACTTTGTTTCTATGGCACTTAGTAACAAGCCACGTTGGTGAAATTTATGGAAGGAGTATTTATGGAGGCAATAGAGACATTTTATGTTGCTGATCCTGTATTTATGATATTTTTAGGTCTGACACCATATGTAGGATTCTAGGTGTGTGCTGCTTTACCAGTTTAGAATAGGTGACAGTCAGTCTGAATTGGTATAAAAGAAGTTTRTGACACCAAAAGATTCTGAAATTTKCCCAAACTCATCTGCAGGTAGTTAAGCTRTGCGTGCCTGGGTGACTGATGCATTAGAAGCCTGTAATTAATTTTTTTCTACCTTTATCTGTTAGAGTATTCATTATGGATKTAAAGCTTAAGTGCTGTTTATTTTCCCATGGGACATCTTTCAAAACTATCACAGCTGGTTGAAAACAGTCAAATTAATTTGAGCTATTTGACACTATTGGCAAGAATTGTGATATTCACTGAAATCAGTTAGCCTTGTGCAGAGTRTTTTGAGGTACAGGAACACAGCTGAGAGCTGCCAAAGGAGTTGGGGCAGCACTGTTTCCAGTTCCCTCAGGTAGATTCTCAGGTAGATGGGGCATCCAGGAGCTGATCAGAGTGAAGATGGGGTGAGCTGTGTGCAGTTCTGGGGTGCTGGGTGTGGCAGCTGTGCCCGTGGGCAGGTGACACTGTGGGCAGGTGACACTGTGGGCAGGTGACACTGTGGGCAGGTGGCACTGTGGGCAGGTGGCACTGTGTGGCCCTGGCACGGCTGTGTTGTGTCCCTGCAGAGCAGGTGACAGTCGGGCGCTGGACCCCCGGCCTGAGCGCTGACCACGAGGATGTCACAGCCACGCCGGCGCTGCAGAGGACACAGCCCAAGGCACCCAAAGTCGTCACTTTCTGAAGGCCTGCTGGCTCTCAAACAGTTGTCCTGTGCTGCATCACTTCAGACTGCTGAGGACAGAGTGGATCCAGGAAATCAAGCAGACTGCAACAGAATTGGATTTTTGTCTCCACTCAGTTTCCCAGTTTGCCTCCCGGACTTGCCTGGCTGAAAAGCTGGGAACAACCGAAATACAGCAAGTGGCTACTTTATTAAGGAACTACGGGTGTTTTTTAAAGGTTCTTGTTGGATTCTGGTTTGGGTTTGCCTTCTCCTTTCATGAATTACAACTTTTTCCTCTGTGTGTTCTAGCTTGAGCAGTCTTGGGGTGAAGTTGCAGGTCAACTCTGTGGCCTGTSGAGCTTGGAGTGCAGTTCCTGACARTTGTGGTTKKGATTATCAGTCATTAACCTGATTGGTAATGCACATTGGGTTGTTTGAGTATCTGTTGAGTAACAGAAACAGAATCAYGCTCTTCCTCTGAAACCTGTGGTGAAACACCCCTGAAGAATTGCAGAGCAAGTGAGCTTTCTGAGTTGACTTACTTYTTTTCAGACACTCAGAAATGTTCARTGTTTTCATCCYTTGGTGAGTTGGGAGTATACTTTTCTTTGCATTACACCTGCCTKCTTCATGGCAGACTTATTATTTTTTAAATGGAGACTGCAGCCTTAGAAAAATGTGCATGTATTAAAAAGACAAATCAGGAAACCAGCTCAAAACAGAGTTCCTGCAGCCACCAGCATTGCTGGAGAAGTACATCCTGAGCTCCTCTCACATACTTTTCTTGCAGCAAAAAACAAACGTGGAGAATGAAAYTGTGTGGAGATGTTTTATATTTGTACAGGTTAATTATTTTTAATAAAATGCTGCTAAAGAATACAGTGGTTAGAGCTCTTATTTTAGGATTCCTGGTTCTGCTGTGGGACTGTGATACGGGGTGTATGTTCAGTTTGTATTAATCAGAGCACACATTTAAATGGGGAAGAGGAGTGGATGTGAATGAAACCAAGGATTAATTATGGAGTTTTAATTAACTATTGGATTAAAGCTCAAAGCTATCACTTTAATGTGGACATTTTGGCAACAAACRTTTATCGCAACTTAAGAAGTATTTCCCTTCCTATTCTACGAATTAAGTATATTGTTTTCAAAGCATCCTTTTATATAATTTCCCAGCTCCTTGGCTTTGTAATGTTTTCTTTTAGCCCTGGTAACCTGTGGCCATGGGTTTTTCCTGTCCCAGAGGGTTGTGCAGGCAGTGGGGCTGTGCTGTGGATGTGGAACTCCCAGGAAGGGGTTGATCTCCAGCTTCAGAGCACTCTGAACTGTAACTGCTGGACAGAACTCGTTAGATGCACCCACGGATATTCCACAAAGGATATTYCACAAAYGATATTCCACAAAGGATATTCCACAAAGGATATTCCACAAAGKAATGTGTGTCTGAAGGAAGCTGTTGGACAAGCACCTGCAGAAGGTGCCGATGTAAAGATGTGAATCCGTTTACAGCTCGGTGCCGGCAGTGTCTGGGCTCGCTCTCTGCAGTGCCTGTGTCCAGAGCCAACATTAGGGGTCTCTCTTCACTCAAAAGTCGCATCTGAGAGTACCTGTGAAGCTGAGAGCTGCTCTGCCATCACTGCACACGGCGGGGCTCTGAGAGTGACCGCCTGCCTGGAGGGAGCTGGGTCCTCCTGAGCTGAGAGGTGGCACAGAGGGACTTGTGGTGGCTTCTGCGCTCTGGAGGGGCTGGCCTTGCTCCCAGAATGAGGTGCTGCACTTCCTCTGCGTGTTGGAAACGCTGCTCCACCATCAGCTCTGGGTCTGTGGTCGCTGCAGAACAGGAGCTGGTTCATGCCCTGGGCTGCTGGTGAAGCTCAGCCCAGCGCTGTGGCTCAGCAGGCAGGGCTGGCCTCAGTCCTGTGACCAAGCTCAGGCCAGGGGACACAGCTGGGGACACCCCAGGGCTTACAGCACTTCCTTCCCTCATGCACACCGTGCCAGCATGTTCTGCAGCCTGTGAGTCCCTGCACAAGGCTCTGCTTTGGCCCTCGGTCCAGCTGAGGGTGTGTCCAAGTGGGAGCTGTGCCAGCCCCCGAGAGTTCTCACCCTGGCAATGGTGACACCGCAGGGACATCGAGTGCTGGTGCTGCAGCTCACGCTCATGGGYTTTGATCCCCTCAGCCCCAGGTCTGTGCCAGGATCCAGCTGATGATGAGCRTTCTCATTCCTCTGAACAGTCCTCTTGGAGCCAAAACAGGAGCAGCCGACAGCAGACACAGCCTCTGGAGCCATCCCCATTCTGTGGGCCAAAAGTGAATCCAGGAGCTGCTGCTGCTGGGATTTTACTCCACTCTGGCACATAGACTGCAGCTCAGGTCTCCTGCAGACGCCACCAGCACTGCAGGGCAGCCTTCTACACCCCACAAATACTGCAATGAGTTTGTAACCTCACAAACAATAATTTATTGGGACTCGTGTGAATGGACGAGTTCTAAAGTAGAGACATTAGCAAACACTAATTTACATGTGCTGTAATCAGTTTATAAATAATGGACCTGCACAGCCAGGTCAGAGCACTGGCACAGCTACTTGGTAGCACTGGTTTCTGCAGCTTACRAGTGGTATTTACAGATTTACAACTGCCTGGATGCCACTCTGTTCAATATAACATTAAAATAAGGAAATAGTCTCATGAGCTACAGCTCTACTGAGCCAAGTTCTGCCTCCATTTATATAAAATGCATTAATGCAATCAAAAGCAGAATCTGTCCCTTAATCTTTTTTAAATTAAAAATTGAATTTAGAGCCTAAAGCCTAAGCTTGGTTTGATAGAAAAGGCTTGTACTAGGTATTCTTGGGCTGAAACCCAATATTGGCTACATGATCCAAAGTAAGTAACCTACAGGAGAATGATCAACACCCTTGCAGGAATTTAAACCAGAACTGCTTGATAATCTTCAGATGTCCTGTTTTTAACTTCTGCACTTGCTCTCATTCAGCTCCAAGAACTTTATACATTCCAATGCAGTGTCTTCAATGGATTTTGATGAGCCAGTAAGATTTGCAGCTAAGTAAGGCATAACTCCTGATGTCACTTGATTGAAGTAACACACCTGTTTGAACAAAAGTAAATGAAACAAAAAAGCCYATGGATTGCAAGCTAGCCGTTTTTCACAGAGCCTGGATGAGTATCAGAGTTTTTATGGATGTGAATAGAAGCACACGGTGYTTCTGAAACCAAAGGCAATAATTTGCAAAAAGCAAATCTTTCTTACAGCACTTGAGAGATCWGAGTGTCCTCAATGCTCTCAGATCCTCCAGCATCTGCAGGTAAATGTACAGAGCAGTGCAGCGAGAAACACTGTGTATAACAAGTTAAATATGAGTGCTTTGTGAACAAAACTGKTGCCTGGAAAAAGGAATTGCAGCCACCGAGAGCTGCTGAAAGTTTTCAGAAACAGGTTTTCTTAAATAGAAAAATTTTAGCCTTCCCACAGAAAAGAAGATTGGCCTGGGTCCAGATATGTGATTTGGATGGTGTGATTCCTGGCATATGGAAGTTAAAGTGAGGAATTTAAGTTGAATTAATTCCTTGGACTTTGCAATCATGGAAAGAGAGACCACCATGGACCAGTGTAATGCACAGAATGTAATGTCCAGAAGTGCATTTTAGGACTGAACGAATGACCCTGAAGGGGCACAGCAGCTGCAGTGCTTAGTGTARACCTCATTTCTAGCACTCAAACTGGGGGCTGGGCTGGGCCCTGCMGGGCTACTCACGGTGCAGGAGCTGCTGCTGCTGCTGTGGATCTGGAAGCCGGCACAGAGGATCTCACTCCTGCAGAACTCCGGGCTCGGGGACATCCCCCTGAGGGTCACCGACCTCACAGCCACCACGTAGGGCTCCCTGCAGGGCAAGGGCAAGCATCACACCCTTGCTCTTGCTAGAAACACTTGTGGAAGTGCCTGAAACATGCACAGCTGTGCCAAATGCCCTCCTTCTTTCATGGAGGGCAAAGAAGCTCCTGTGTGTTTAACCATCCTTGTTCATGTCTGCCCCAGACTCCAACCCACGAGGCTTCTGTGGCAGACAGACAACAATCCCCACTCCACAAYACCTCCTTTCCTTTCTAATTTACCCTGCTCTGCTCTGCTCTGCTCAGCCCATGTTTACAGTCAGGGGACAGACAGCCSTCACCCAGGGGCTTCACACTGTGGCCCCAGTGAAGGTACCCAAATTCACTCAATTCTCTGATGAGGGGGGRAGCAAGCACAGGACAGAATACTGCCTTTAGGGTTAACTTGAAGGATTGCTGAAGGAAARAAACAGAATAAAGAGGGGAAAATACACCAAAGGGTCTCATTTGCTCATATTTCAGCAGATCAGAACAAAAGGAAATCTAATAAGAAATGATACAATTTCAAAAAGCTGTGTATGTTCAAGTGATCAAGGGACTCGGCAGAATTTACAGATAAAACAAATGTGTGAGGTTTCAAGCACTTTTTGACCAAGTAAAAACKCTGTAATTACACTGAATGGGATTACAAAGTCTCTTCAAACAAACAAGAAGACAAACACCCAGCTAGGTGCTTCAGCCCACTGACAGGCTCTGGGATGTGACCTTTTTCCCAATTTTCCCATTTGAAATTCTGAAAAATTCTGAAATTCTATTTCCCTCATGGCAGACCACTCCCACAGAGTCATTATTAAAGAATAACACTGGACCATGCTACAAATCTGTGATGACCTGGATTTACTTCACTGCACCTTCACATTGCAAAGCAAATCGGGATGTACAAAGGCATCAATGTAGGAATCCCGCTCCTTAAAAAGCAGAATGCCATCTCTGTCACCCAGCTGAAGGTCACAGCACCCCAGACTGTCCCCAAAGCACTCCCTGTCACAACCAGAGCCATACTCACTGTGGCCTGTCGGGCTGCCTCTGGGACACCAGGATCACGAAGTCTCGGGGTTTGTGGCCAGTCATGGGGGGAGATGTGATGTGATAGATTTTCTCCTCCTCACTCACATCTTGGAGGACCTTGCAAGTCCTGTGAACACATTTAACACACACATCAGGCCCTGGTGTGTGCAACAGCATCTCCTTCAACAAACACAGTGCAAACGGGCTCTATCCTCACACTGAACCTTTGATTTTCATCTTTGGGCAGCAAGGCAGAGAGAGTGAAAAATTTTGGTTTTGTGACACACCTCATCAATAGCATTTCTGCAGATTTTGTTTGTTACAAGTCATAAATTCAGTAGAGATTGTAAATTTTCAAATATCCCTAAATTTCCACCCTCTGATAAAAATCTTTCAGAATGGAATTAACTAACTAAAAATCAAATCATATTAGCATCAATTCAATTCAACTGTCTCTAATCACTATTCTACACCATATAATGAACATAAGAAATCTCAAACACCTTTTACAGCAATTCCAAAACCCATTTCTAATCAGACACACTTCAAAATATGTTATTTTTCTGAAAATACGTGTTTTTAAGAGCCTGATTTCTTGATTTCTCACTTTGACTGTCCAGTGAAGCTGAGCATCAGTGTCTCAAACATAAAGGAATCCAGGTTTTCCCTAGTTTTTAAAGTTAGCATGCTCAATACATCCACCTCAGTTCTTTTAACTTTTTGTTCTTTTACTCATTTTGGTTTTCTGCCAATTTTAATACATGTCTAGGATTAGAAATGTGCTCATTTCAGGGAAAAAATTATTTGTGTCCCTTCCCTCTCTTTCGACAGTCCAGAGTGCTCTGTATTTTGGAACCAGACTAAGCACAAACCAAATTTTATTTCTATGGTAAAACACCACAATCCATACTTTGACTAACGAACCTTTGGTCAAAATCTTACAACAATTTCTTCCTAACTAGGCAGCAAAGTGCCAGCACATCAGAAGTGTCTGTGTCAGACAAGATGAGTGGACAGGGAAGGAGGTTCTCACTGGAAGTGCCTGTCCCAGCGCTGGCGGAGCCTGAAGTCGGACAGGAGGGAGAAGGCGACGTGGGAAGGGAYCTTCACCTGCATCTCCACCTTGAATGACAGCACAGCACCCTCCTCRTGGGTCCAGATTTTTACCTGAGAAGAAAAAGCCAGCATGCATTAAAAACAAAGAATTATTACTATGAGTATTTTAAGATGCATAAATGTCACGCATTGAGGATGTGAAAACAGATTCTCTCAGGAGTTTTCTGTGAAATTCCTGATGCCTTTGTCCAGGCAAATCAGCCACACCTTGACCTAGGCCCCCTGCCCCTAGAACACTTCCCTTCCAAAATATCCTTATTTTATTCCCTTTTTCTCTTCTGTGAAGCATAGTACCCATAACTAATGATATATTGAAAAACAACTTAGAAACATACTTTTACATCTCTTGCAAAAGTCCCACACCTTTACTATTTTGTCTTGATTATTTTGGGACTATTTCTAGTCATTTACCAAAATCCTAACACAGAGAATTCAGATGAAATAGCCTCTACATCACAACACACACACACAAATGAAGGGTTTGGCACCTCCCACAAACCCCGTACAACTGAAGATGGGTACAAAAGAATGCTTAGAATTAGTGGATTTCATTCCCAAGATCACATGCTTTATTGCTTCTCAGATTCTAGAAAGTGTTAACAGATTTTCATTAGCAAGTAATATAAAATTCCTAAGTTTGATCATCACTGTTCAGGTTTTGTTGGATTTTTTTTTTGCTGTATGAAGAAATGAACCATCTTTTGTTTATGGTGCATTTGTGCAACAACACAGATTTTGTATGTTTCTGTGTTTTCCTGTCTTGGAAGAGGAAAGAAACCCCAACATAATCTGGAAATCACYTTGCTGAAGTAAAGTTTGTTGTAAAACTACAGGCTTAAGGGCTTTAAAAGCCATCTACAGGAGGTCTGYATCAATATTCCTCTAAGGCACAGAGCAGAAATCAGTTGTTCTAGGAGCTTTCTAGACTTGAGAAATCACAAAACAGAGCAGGAGATGCAGCTGTCAAAACACCTCTCTGCTGAGTGAACATTGGCAAGGCTGGATTATCACTACAGRCTTACAAGGCTGGTGGTTTTGTGTCAAAGACAGCACACTGCCATTTGTTACCTTCAGAAAATTGTCAGTCAGCTTGGGGTCATTCCAGTTCCAGGGAAAAGGGAACATATCCTCTGCAGCTTAAGGTCATCCCCCCTTGTGCTACTCCTCACCAGGTTTCTGAAAAACCCCCTTTAGGTACTGGGAGCTGCTTCAAAMTGTCCCCAAAGMMTTCTCTTCCCCAGGATGAACAACCCCAAATCTCTGTGCCTGTCTCCACGAGCTGGTTCAAGCTTGCTTTTGCCAGYAGCAGTGTTGTCTGATGTTTATTTGGCACAGCAGTGCTTATTAAAAGTCTGTAATCACTAGAATGCCCTACACATGGAACTGGCAGATTTGCCATCACTGATTTCCTTATGATTTGTATCTGCTCTTACTCATTGTCCACATGCAAGAGTCACTAAGCAAYGTTTTGTAACCTGTGATGCACAGGTCACACTAAAATACATTTTTTGTCCCAAAGCACCTCTGGAYTGACATGATGTTAAAGCAAACTGCCAGTCACTACCCACATTTCAGAATCCCAGCCCTGACAGATGCCTGATGTCTCTCCATTGTTTGGAAAATATGTAATGCAACTGGGCTAACAAAGGTTTTCCCTTTATTTTCTACTGGTTTTCATAGCAACATCTTCCCCTGCTAGAACTGCTTTACACAAGCTTCCATGCTGAATTTGGGTTTATGACACCACATCATGAACAGAGAGGTGCTTTGCTTTCAGATTTCTGTGATTTTTTTTCTGCACTTACATTATCCAGGGTCCTGGTTATGTCCCACCCTGATGTTGTTGCCAGGCGTGTCAGTGCATCTATGTTGCTGTAACTCAAAGATGCCTGAAACACAAGATACATGTCTGAAAATGGAGTGGTAAAGGTACATTTCACTGAACATTGCAGAAATGAGGTGTTCTTTTTCCTATCATTACCCTTCAACTGCAAACAAATGTTTTGTTTTCCTTGCAAATGAAAACACAGTCCAGTAGTTTCTGAATTAAAACACTTCCAGTGGCTTCCTTATACACTYACAAGGCAAACAATCTTAATTGGCAAAACAATCTGTTGGCAAAACAATCTTAATTAAAGGACAGCAAAACASTATTTTCAGCTTCTCCCGTTACAAAGCTGTRCAGAACAACTTTGGCCACCAGGGAGATAATAGAGATAACCTCTCAGACCACTCAATAAATGGGTTTGTCCATCTTTCTCTTAAGTAATTAGAATCTACAAGAAAATTAACCTCTTCTTTGCTATCAAGCTGTGGTCCRTTTTGGCAATTGCTTCACACAGCAGGCTCACAACAAAGAAAGTGCAAATATATCCATTATTTATGCATGGCTACAGTGGATGGAGTTCTCATTTAACCACTGTATACAGAGAAAACAGCCTTAGAATTTTACTGACAGGTTTTAATTTCACAGTAAATAAATCTTAAGCAAGATACTTTTATCTTTGTGTGCATGTTTACATTCATTGTTTCGCACAAAAAAAAAAAAAATCTGCTTTAGCCACAAAAACTGGACACCGAAACAGAACTTAGCCTGTGTATAAATCCACCTAAATTCAGGTTCAACACCATTCACTGCACAACACAGGCACAGTGAATGGCCCAGCATGTCCAAACCAGAGACCCAAGTCACTTGGTGCAGGGTATCTGGGAATGAACAWATKAYTTCACCTCTCTTTCCACAGAAAYAAARTKYATGCCATTCCARTGTTCATCTSTCCGTGCTATCTCTCCCACCACTTCTACCACTTAATAAATGGTTTCCTCATTGCAATTTTTCAGACATTCAGTGGCTGGATAAAGACAAAAAGCAAAACCCGAACTACTTCCTCTACCGGATAATTCAGCTTCTTTCACAGCAGAGACACTGAGGGATAAATCTACAGACCTTGAGGGACCACTTGTATGCATCTATTTTAAAGACTTTTTTTTATCCTTTATACTGAACTTACTCTTACATCAACAATGAATAATCTGCTCTCTTTTTTCAGAAGAGAAATGTCACTATGTTACACATCCACAACACTCCAGTGCAGCGGGTCCAACTGACACACTCCCCAAAAGGTGCACTTTTTATGCAGCTTTTTATGCTCCCACAGATTACCTGATTGCTGGTCTCCCAGGTGTCAGAAGGTCTGTCTCCTTTAGCAGACATGCAYTTTCTAAAACATATTAATGTTTTTAATTAGAAAGAGACATAGTAACATGAATTGGTTCTTTACACTTACTTCTATATATGCTAGTTACAATCACTTTAGGTAAGCTGAAGTGTCATCTAAATACTTTATACATTTTTTGCTTTGCAATAACTGCTTTTCTTCTCTCAGAAGGATGGCAAAACAAAATAACCTGCAGAGCAAAGTAATTTTGAGACAAGTAACCTCTAATAATTTCAGTGCCACTGAAACAAAATTACTTGGAAATTTAGGCCACGTAACAGTCATATATATGTTGACATACACATATGTTTATTTACAGCACTATAAAATAAAGAATATCATAAAATTTTAACAAAATTTAAAATTTTCAAAATCAAGATCTGCTAGTGACCCAACTCTACCTGGTGAGTCGGATCCTCCTCCGGGCAATCGCTCCATGGTACCTCCTCACATCATCCTGCATGAAAAGTGAACAGTAACACATCTCACTATTTTAGAAAGTCTGAAAAAWAGTCAACTAAGAGTTCCTTATTACAGATGGGCTGTAGAGAGCCTCCAGAGAAGTGATACAGACAAATAAAGAACAGTATTTTGTGCATTGGCCTTCCCACAGACTAATCCAGGACAGTGGTTTGCTTTTTGTCTTAGCAATATTCCCTGAAATTTGAAAAAAAAACAATGAGACAGAAGAGTTGTATCACTGCACATCCTTCCAGTGCTTTTTGGTCTTAAACCAGTGGCAGCTGGGCAGTGCACCACACACATTCCACTCTTTCTAATTGTGCCAYCCATCAAATAAGCGATTAACCCAATTTATCATCATCTGGTGTTCAAAACACAAATGAAAAATTTTATTTTTTCAAGTCAGTTTTTCCTCTCGGGACAGCCTGCAGTGGGCAGTAGTGAACCTTACTGCCCCACTGAGTATACATGAGACACAYTGATTTATTTTTCTAGTTGCCATCCTATAAAAAATAAGATCCTGATGCTAAAAAAATTGGTTCATTTCTGCCTACACTGGCTCTGTAAAATTCTTGTAACTGKAGTAGGAAGGTTAGTGACAGGTGTCATCACAGCAAATAATTCAACAATAGTATCCTAACTGCTTCAAGTGCTTCATGAAACCTCTTTCAGGGAAACAGAAATGGAGATCTCCATCTCAAAGGAACTCAAAAGCCYACCCACGTTATGGGATTTGATTCCCACAGACACCTTTATTCAGTCTATTTCTTATCTTTGTTATTGGTTTATAAAAATAACTATTCACTGAATACTTACACATTCCATCTGCAGTTAGTGGAAACTGCAGAAGACATAGACAAGTGGAAAAATCTCAGATATATCTGATTCTTCTTCCCTGTCCACCAGCCACAGAATTTCTAGTCATGAGGACCCTCCACGGAGCCTCTCAGTTTTGGAAGACTAAAGCTAACAATAACAAATCTCTCACTTGAGCACAAACATTTCCTTTGAAGGTTTTCTCTCCTGCAAGAAGACACATTGCTGTGCCCTGCTCGGTCCCTGCTTCCCCRGAAGGCTGTGGTGACACAGCTGTGACACAAAGGATGTGCTGGGACACACCACACGCACAACCTGCTCCTGAGAGCTCACCTGTGTGCTAGGTTTGACTCTGGGGAAGTTGAGCAGCTCCCCTTTGTCATTCACAGCACTGAAAATGAGGAATGCACTGTTGATGTGCCGAGGCTGGTCCTTGATCCACTCCTCGCAGTTGTACGCCTCCACACGGACACCAACCTCCACACTGAAAGGAAAGTGCAAATCAATTACTGAACTGCTTCAAGTGATGCAGAGGCAGCTCTGAGACATGTTTAAAAGGACTGCTGTAGCTCCAGGTGTGCAGGGAGCCTGACTCAAATACCTTTCTGTAGAACAGCAAATACCTTTCTGTCTCAGTGTGGACAGAAACACTTCTGAAATAAAAGGTGGCAGTAGCAAAATAGCATTAACGAACTAAGCAATAAATGGAATCCAGATCTGTCAACAAAATGCTAAGGTGGGAAGATACTGACAGCAAGCTGCCATCCTCTGAAGAATCAGATCTCTGGGAGAAACTCAGCCCTTGAAAATCCYRGKATTTCAGAGGAATATTTATTGTCTGTGTTCACAGGAGTATGATCTGGTGACAAATGATCTTTGAACTGAGAGGGAAACTCAGAGAATAAATTTTTATTACAACTYGCACTGATAAAAGTAAAGCAAACAAAGTGAGATAATTACAATAATTACAAAGTGAGATATAGATATATCCCTCAAAGTTCTACCTGAAAAATAGTTCATTCACTAATRCAAATCCTGCTGGTGGCTGAAACGTGAAACACACGTTGTAGGCTGGTGCTGGAGGTGCCAAGGCAGACAGCAGGTGAGGAGTGTTACCTGTTGTGAAAGGTGTTGTTGACAATGGCGTTGAAGACGAGGCGGTCACCCACGAAGGATGGCCCCCAGAACTTGAACATGTTGACTGACTTCAGGATGGGATGTGAGCGACAGAGGCGGCTGAAACAGAAAGCCAGGGATAGAGAGAGAGCGAGAGMAAAACACAATTGTGTTAAAAAGCACCACCTGGGAGGAGTGATTACAGAAACRTGCCTTACTCAGCCCAGAAGGTCACTAAATTACACTGATCTGCTCCACAACACACTGAAATGCAGTTGGCATGCTCAGCCCCAAGAGCATGTAACTCGAGCTTCAACCATCATAATACCACTTATGTCATGCTGTTTCCTTTTCAGCACATTTTACAAACACCAATTAATTCTCACTGCTTGAGACTACCCTCTTTCAGAGCCAGACCATGAATCCTTTACCTACAGAATAACCACTTGCTTCGCAGTTTCATTAATTTCTGTAGGACTGCACAGGGAGCAGGTTCTTGCACAGAGTGTAAGAATGCCAGACCTTAAACCCTTTGAACAATTAAAGGAAATCTGAGCAGAAAGGCTGAGCGCCAGGAACAGTATCCAAACAACACCATGTCAGCTGGCTGTAGTATTTGTACTTTTTTGCTTCTTTATAAATGCTTTCTGCTAGTCTGACATGAAATGAGAATTCAAAAACCCTCACGTGGCTGCCAGATGCAGTCTGTGTAAAACAGTCTCATTTGCAAGCATTTTGCAGCAGGCAAAAATTAGATTTCTTCATCAGCTCTACATGTAGTCAAAGTCCCTCACTTTCTACTGGGATGTCTGTGCATCACAGGAAGAGGGGRCAACACACAACACATGCCATTTATTTTTAGACTCTGAAACAACACACTGCTCTCAGTAAGGAGCCCCTGTGCCCATCTGAGGGTAGATCTTTTCATGGTGAGGTTTGTAAATTTGAAAATACAGTTCTGTAGCACTCCGAGCTTTTAATTCAACTGCACTTTGAAAACTAATGTACCGGTATTGTTAAATGCACACAATTATCTGYAGATAATTAACTGACTGGTACATCTCTTTAATAGTCTAATACCTTTGAATCACTTTGTAATTAAATTAAAATAATTTGCTCTTCTGATTTAAAATGCTAAGCGTTGATTTTGTTTACAATGTTCATTCTAAAGATGCAAACACAATAATGCTGAGGACAGGAATAAACCAACAATTGGGCTTCAATATTCATTTTTTCCTGGAAAASTATGCCCTGAATGCTTTTATTGCAAGTGAAAGAAATAAGTTAATATTAATGATATTCAAACGGTTTTATTGCTATCTGTTAAACTTTCATGCATTGACCAGCCAAAAAAAAAAAGGTGGTGCGGAGGTGAGGGGCCAGAATGAGAGTGAGCAACCTTTAAAACGTCCTAGGAAATTTCTTTTTCCAKGGTTATCCCTCCCCTTCTGTTCCTTCATCACAGTTTGTGGCCATAGAAACTCCTCCCTGGTAGCTTCAAAGGTCAGGTCTAACTCTTMGTGGCCTTGCAAAAGGTTTATAGAGAGAATAGTTATTTCTCAAGGGAAAAACTACAACATCTCTGTTTTCAACCAGCCTCTGACACCTGCTATTAYTCCTGAAATTTTCAACATGAGTTATCACATTAATTTAACATTAATTAGTTCGAAGAAAATTTGTTCAATATTCCATTTGCTGATGTTTCTCTTTCTTTTTTAAATCTAAATTTAACTCACACTARGTAAAATTTATCAGATGAAAACAGGTAAATATTTTGAGTTGTATTATGGCAAAAATCTGCAACAGTCCCTTCAAGCCATTGGAGTTGCACACTGGAGTAAGGTCACTGCACTCTGATGTTGCTAAAACAAGTTGTTTATCCAACCACTACAGAAAATCTGTTATTATCAGTACAACTGGCTACAAATCAAAACCATRTGAATAATTAATGGAGAAGTCATTTAATTATTAAAGTTAAAAAGGGAAAACATATCTAACATCCCTGCGGTGAATTAGGTCACTCGGTATGCAAGGAGAATTCAAACTGAAACTTGAGCACTGCTTACAAAGAAGCTTTGTACAGTGTCCAGGAACAGGAAGGGAGACAAACAATGGTTTGACTCCAGGGGAGAGGAATTAAATGATTATATGTCTGGGTCATACTGACAAGCAGCACCACAAAACATACTTTGTTCTTCTAACCTGAAGATGTCAGARCTCTTTAAACTGCTAAAATTGTTACAACATACAGGCTGCGCAACTCAAGAGGGACTGACAGGTCAAGTGACTTGCTGAAGTTATGTACCCATTCCAACAGAACAGAACCAGTTTATATGGGTCCTTCTTCTCTTATTTTCTCTCTTATTTTCCTTCTGGCATCATGAGGATCTGCAGACTAAGTTCTAGAAGGCTGTTCATTTTTGGATGTCACTTGATACAGGGTCACTATTGGTTTTATCCCAAGTTAAAAACTATGTTTTTAAAACACTGCACCAACCATAGGGAGTGCAAGTTTCTGTGCTTGAACAAGGAAGGAGGGCAAGTTTCTGTATCCAGTGTTGGCTTTCTGCAGAGATTCCCAGGAAGATAACACAGCCTCTTTTGCCTTAGGGTCTGTATGTGTAACAGAATAATGTCTGACTCTCAGTGGYATGGCATGCTGTGGGAGATGTACCACATAAATAGTTCAAAGGCCTCCTGTAATGTGAGCAGGAAGAAAAGTCACAAAGGCCTGGGTCTGTATTCTTCACAAAATAAATCCCTGTGAAACCCTTAAGGTTAAAAGCACATCCATTTAGAACCGCATGCAGAGACAACGCTGTACAAAAGTACCTTGCTGAAATGCTTGCCACTGTCTCCATCCAAGCCATGATCTGGCCACCAAAAGTGTTTCCGTGATGGTTTGCATGAGGAGGCAGGACAAGCTCAGTGCTCTGTACATGGGTATGCTCAGTTGACACTGCATCTTTCTCTTCACAAGTATCTGGAACACAGCAGCAAAGTATCAATGATTCCTTTCAGAGGAAGATACACCCAGTGAAGCGTGCAGTTTTGCTTCAGAGCCGGTGAAAAGAAGAAAACCAGAAAGGCACAGAAGAGCCCTGTTGCTTGCAAGGGAAGTGAGAGGCTGCACATTTTCCCTGTTGTCTCAGGRGTTGCTGSTGCCAGCCCTCAGTGCATGCMCACAYRCCYGTGTCAGCAGCAGCTCCTGCMCCAGCTGGAGGAGAGTGTGCTGGGACTGGTCAGGGTTGCCAGGCATGGCCCCAAAAGGGGCTGCCAGAACAGTTTAGCACCTACTCCAATGTCTGTCAAAGACTTTGCCATGTGTGTGATGGGCACGTGCACAGATGTGTTTAATTAAGGYTAGAGCAGGACACGATTATTTCATAACTTGTTACAAATCTTGTGATTACCTGAGGCTACACCGAATAGATGGGAGTAATGAGGATCTGAATCACTGATCACCTTGTATTACCTGAGCATTTCTGATGTCAGTGTTTAGCCATGCATCCTCACTCTAATCTCTGTTCTTTTCAGTGCTATTTTGCAGGAACAGATTGAGGGATGAGATTATGTCAAGTCATTTTAAAAGTGCCGATCTGTGCTAGGAGCTGCTTGACCTGAATGGTACTTTTGACTTATGCCATAATTAACTAACTTTGTGATTATATAAACCTGCGGAAATGTATGACTAACTTGTACTTTGGACTTACTTAAGTAGATCCTAAGATCCACTTGTCAAACTTCACTTTCAAGGTATGATTTGTACACATTTTGCTACCTAGCAGCCTTTACAGGCAAGGCTCTCTCCTCTCCTCTTTTCCTCCACTTTGCTTGTTCTGTCTTCTTGAGGAGCTGAATTAGTGCTACAATAATATCCTTCAAAGAAGATTCCAGGAAAGGCAGTGGAAGCAAAACGCAYCGACCTCTGATTTGTCACTCAGGTTATTAAACTGTACCCTGTGAGACAGTTACCATGAAGACAAATAGCTTGTTTTCTTGTACCAAACAAGACTCTTTTTGGTTCTATGAAGTCCTACTAAATTGTTAAGACTAGATCTTTGTTTATAACAGGTTTAATCTCTCCTCAGYAAAACCACATAATGCCTGTTATTTATACATGGAGCTACAGCTCAGATTTTCCAAATACCAGTACATTTTCTTAATTCTGAGTAATTTCTTTTGTGGGGGAACACAACAACTTTTGAACAYAACTTTCTTTAAGAACAGAAATTACTATCATAAATAAAGAGGAACCTGTTTCTTTGCTCAGTTTTTCTAACTTTTTAACCTGTTTTGACTTCCATGTAATGATGTTTCTCCTGCCTGTTGGGAATCATCTCAGGGCATAACAGAGATCTTACTTTGCTTTCTGGTCTGAGTAAATTTCATCTAGGTCTTCATGACAACTAGTGTCACAGAACTTTATTACTGTAATGCAAAGTTCAGTGTGACCTGTGAACCCTTACACACAGAACCTATGTGAAGTTCTGCATTTCACATCTGTTTAATACACGCTTGGCCTTCAACCCTGCATTTTTAAATCTGGAATTTCTGTAAGACACAGAAATATCACTCCATTAGAATAACTGCCTAACGTACCTCTCAAACATGGCACAGACTTTTCTACCTGATCCCACAGCCCCAAGGAGATCTATGTGTTTTTTTCTGCCTTTTTCCTTCCATCCAGCTGCACACAAGCCTCTTGTTCCACCCTCTRTGCTGAGTAGAGAAATCACCTTCCTCATTGCTCTCCTGCATTATCTTCTGAAAGACCTGGACATAGCCCAGACGGATTCTTCTCCTCTCATTAGCCAGGCTGTGCTCCAGGTGGTCTTCTGGAGACAGAAGCTGTACAGGTTTTAACTCAACCTGTGCAAATGGAAAAGAAAAAAAACACAACTGTTCTGAATTTCACAATCACAGCAAAGTGCACTTTAAATTCAAAATGGCAACAGCATTTTCTACAACCTTTCTCTATCAGCTGTCCAAGATGACAAGTTTATTAATACAAAGAAGCACACAGTTTAAAGTTCAAGAGATTCTGCATAATCTTTCCAAAATCATCCATTACAACTCAATGGCAAAATGCTTCCAGCTTTTAAAAACAAACTTCCATGAGAGCACACTGTGTTTAAGACAGTTCTCATTTGAAAAATATGAAAAAAGAAATACAAAGATGAACTTCATATGAAGGTTTCAGTACACAATTTTTGAACTCAGAAAAGTAATCCAGTTGCACTGATCAGTGGTGTCAGTGCAAATTCCTGTGTATGTSAATTCTTGTGTATGTGAATCCAAACCTGTACTCAATTAAGAAAATTGCTACATTTGGATAATTACAATTATCAGCTGTAATTATTATTACAGCAGAGGTGTCACTGAACAATCACTTGTGTGATTTGTCTGTAAGGTCTAGTCTCAGAAACTTTAAAATAATGCCTAAAGCAGTGCACCGCAGACAAATTCAACATTTTGTGTCTCACATTGGTGCCATTAATGTTTCTCAGTTTTTGACTCTTCTCTCAAATGCTCTTGCAGATTCATTGCCTCCTTTCCAGTAATTTACAAGAGCTTCCTAGATTTTCCCAGATGGCTCAACTGAAAAATTAAGATGGTGGGTGTAGTGAGTTTCTCTCTGTACAACTTTAGAAACAGTTGCTCGGAAAAGTGGATTTGAAAAAAATATTCCTCAATTTCTCTGAGACTTTAGTTTGTGATGGAATTTGAACTGAACTCTCAAACTCCCTCTGGGACATTCCTGTCTTAAGCCTAATCTTAGTTAATCATCACCAATTTAATCCTRAATTAATCTCCCTGGAAATTTGGGCAAAAGGTAAACAGTTGATGTCACGGGTATGATATCAAACCAATAATAAACAATTCCTACTTTATACCGTTTTAGTTTTAGTGCTATTAGCATTTCAGAGATAAGTCGGGCTTTAGTTTTGATAGAATTGTTCCAATCAGTTTCTTCTCCAAACTGTGCCACATCCTCACAGARGAGAAGGCAGGAGTGATTGGATATATTAACTGCTCATGGGATGACTCTGCCAATCTGCAGTGGATGTTGAACAGGCAGATGTGCTGTCACAACACAGCGAGGCAGGAAAATCAGATCCATGGTTCTAGTCGCATTCAAGAAAGTGGAATTCCACATACAAAGGAAGTTTATTCAGAGAATCTGAGGAGTATTTGGCCTTTCTCATAAGAAAATTCTAAAAGGACTGTGCCTGTCTGGCACAGCAGTGTGAAGGCCAATGGTGCCGTGACTGATTTCTAAACAACTCCAAAGAGCCAAATACTGGGGAAAGAAACAGTGCTGATGTGAAAACTATTTAACACAAATGGCAAAGAATCAATTTAGATTGGAAGCTATCTTAAAAATAATGTCTTCTGTCAGAACAGTGATGTCTGAACAACCTCCACAAAAGGGGAAATGAAGGATAAAACCCTCCAGCCTGCAATCAGCTTCTGAAAAGGAGAGAGACTCACAAGGAGGCTCACAAGGACCTCTCTTCTCCTCTTGCCTCTGTCAATATTGCAGCTCTTACACTTCTATTTGAACAAATGTGCAAAAGAAAATTGAAGAAATAATAATAATAATARCAACAACAACAGCAAACAMCACTACCACCACCACCACCATCAATACCTAACCATTTCAGAGCAGAGAACTGGAAAAAAAMCCCCAAAACTCCACCTTATAAAGTCTGAACTACCTGCTTTTTTTTCCTGTTACCAATCAGAATAAGCAGTGTTTCTGCTGTGTTTCACAACCAGAAAAGTTGGGTTATTTCACAGAAACTCAGTCACTCTAAATTTAGAAGAAAACAGGAAAAATACCTTTCCAACACCAARTGGTTTGGCCACATATGTTGCATATGCCACACTCACAATTTTTTCAGCRTTACTCAAAACATCCTGTACTGTCACCTTGATGCCAACCTACAAGGAAGAAGGTGGTGGAATAGAGAGACAGAAACAGTATTTACATCACTGTCAACTGACTTGAGACAATACAGTGTAGCTTTTATCAAATCAATCATATCCAGTCCCTTACGCCTAGAAGAAAAAGGTAAAAAAACTGCTTTAATCACTTATACATCCCTGAACACATCAGAACATCACAATATTCACTGAGCTGTGAAAGGGTTTTTAGTACAACTCTGATGTATGTTTAGCATCACTTGTAGGGTAAAATTACAAAAACCAGGAAAGTCACTTAAATGTAGTTTTATGGATATTTCCTTTATTTTACTTCTACAACATTTGGAGTCCCCATCTGAACCTTTCTAAGATCTGAATGTGCAAAAAAAGTGTATTTAAAGTGCAAAACACTACGAAACACTTGACTGTGAAACACTGAATTTGATCCTGCAGGATAGGCCTGACATACATCAAACTTCATATTTTTTTCTAATTTTTAGAACCTTTTGGAATATGTTATCTGTGGGATGCATCACTCCATTAAAAATAATGGGAAGTGGACACAGGCACAAYGCACAAAAAGCACCCCCAAGGTACAGCTCTGATTTCAAATGATTGTTTGTTACAATATGAAGATTCAGAACATGTATATAGCTGAGATACATATTTCTGTATCAGAAGTTTCAAAATACTTTGAACTCCACCTGTTCAGTGGATCTGGACTGGACCAACACCACCTCTCCCATTACATGTACCAAAGGCTTTAATTCTTCAGGGCCCAGTTTCTACTCTGATATGGATTATTTTTATTTTACAGAAAACATGCAACTAGAACTCCAGAAGCAGTTTCATTAGGTGGTGTTATTGTTCAGATATTTGCAAAATATCTGGAACAAATAAATCTGGACCCATGCTGTGTTCCCCTATTGTTCCCACCTCTGCTCTACTCCTGCTACATCACTGGGAATAAGAGTGATGATCTCTTACCTCCATGCTGGTTTTGAACGCTCTATTCACCTTTGTTCTGATGGCAATAATTTGTCCAACCCTGTTAAGAAGAGYAAGACCTTACAGAATGCAAACATGYAGCTTTATAAGGGCTTGAATCTGCCTCTCCAGGTACTCCTAAAAGTAGTGAAGAAAATCTCATTAATCAGTCTGTGTCTTTCACATTGCACTGAAAACTCAGCGAAAAAAATGATTTATTCCCTGTTTTCACTTCAACACTGTCATTGACCAGTCAGACTTCCCTCACTCAATAGAACCACAGTCACTCAGAGAACTGCATAACCTTAAWGCCAACATTCCTCCCTCCTGCTGGTGTCTGTATAATGTCAAGTGTGCCCCAGGTACACCCAGAAATTCTGGCTTTTGCTCAAAAGCACATCCTAAACCAAATCACTGAGTACATCTTGCTCCAAAAGCACTCAGGTACACTCTACATGCACCTCTGGCATACAGGTACTTGCACATGAGGAGATAAYCCCAGAACAGAAAGTGYTCTTTGAYWTCTTTAAAGGATGGGCAAAGAGTTTCACATCCTAAGTCTTGGCCAAGAACAGGACTATGTGTCCCTTCTGTGCCTACATCATCCCTCTGAAAACTACTCTTCCCCATCTACCTACATAAAACACTTACACACAACTTTAATTTTGTTTGCTACTATTATTTCATTGCATTATTTATTATTGTTTTATTATTTACTACCTTTTTGGATTTCTTTATTATTTCATCAGATGAAACTGAAACSAGAAAATATTTTCTTTCCTTCTGGAATTCCTAAAGTAACTGTTCTGCATTGATAGCAGGAGCAAACCTTGTTTCCAAACCCCCAAATTCCCAGCACTAAGCAGTGCTGATAGGGTGGAAGGCAGGCAGCTCGCTCTAAAGTTTTCCCATTGAGCAGGAACTAAAAGGACACAATGTGCAGAGTAAGTCAGAGCMAGAGCCAAAACAGATGGGTGTCAGGCCACTGCCTCCAGGGAATTCAAAMTGAGTTACAAATGCTAAAGATCAGTCCTAGGGCAGGCAAAGTGGAGCAAATTACAGCCAAGATTGAAGTAAAATATAACTCAGATCACTTAGGTACCAACAAAATGCTCACAGCTAAGGATTTCATACAGTGATTACCCCAGTTTATTTAAAAAAAAAAAATCTTCCTATTTAAATGAACAGGGTTCTGACATTTAAGGCTAACTTAAATTGCTTATTCCACTGTAGAACTAGAAGGGGAAAACAGGAAATAGGAAACCTTYTCCTTCACAGGACCAGACAGGAACAATAAACTACACAGCAATTTTGTCTTTCTCGTTCACACTCAAGAACAGMGGTGGAATCTTTTGGGTGGATGGGGCAGGGAAAGTGGTCAGKGGGAAGAACCAAGACCATGTGCAGGTACACAGCCCTCATGAGCTTTTGGAGAAGAAGCTCAGAAGCAGTCATCCCACCATCCATTGCAAAGAAAAACCACAACCATTAAGGCCATAGCTCTCAACTCACAGCTAAGGGAGCCACCAGCTCCTTTCCAGAAAGGAAAGTGTTCAGAGCAGTAACTACTCATATGCAGGGGCAGAGCTCACACAACACCACATTTGCACTTAGAACTGTCAGAAACTTGTCAGAATGAACTATGGCTCACACTTGGAACACCAATAAAACCTAAATAAACATCATTTAAAATCAGATGTAATTGAAAATCAGTGCCACTGAACTGCTGTGTATTACAAGACAGGGAAGAGGGTATCATGGCAAAAAAACTAAGCTTTGAGCTACATAGATTTGTGTTAATTTTTGTTTACACCTCAGGTGAAACAGGCACAGAAGACTTAATCCTTACAAAAGATTTAGTAATCTGTTTTAAGTAAATAAACATTACAGTAAGTCACTGACTGAAAAAACATCTTAATAATTCACTGCATGCAACAGCAAGAGTGATTTTATTTATGCAAGATATTTGTGTAATAAACTAGATGTGGCAAAATTTAGGAAATTGCACAGTAAGCTACAGGCAGGATGCTAAGGATGACCTGACACCAAAAAAATTCTTAAATAATTTCTTTCACAGTTACTAGATTTGTACCCTAGATTCTTGTTACAAATGGAACAGTGGTATTACAAGTGAAAGAACAACTAGAGACATTTGGAAACAAATTTGGAAGGAAAGTATTTTCATTAGATTCTAGAAGCTCTGTTCTGCTCACAAGAAACAAGACAGAAAAGTGCTCTGAAGCTACTAAGTCTGAAGTATTACACCTGTCTAGAAAATATTACCTTGASTTTGATTTGTTTTCACAGACAGGATTCTTTTCTAAGGACAAAATTAAAAACACAGAGCAATTCCTGGCAGGACAAACTTGTAAAATTTGTAAAACAAACCAAGAAATTCTCTTTTGAGTTCCAGATTTGGTAAGATCCTGTTCTCTTCTTTGTCACTTGTTCTAGTTCTCACTCCAATGGACACGGCTCTAAAAATCACAAGTGTGAGCGGATGCTTATTGTACACTCAAGCTATAAGCAGTTTTAAACTGACATCAGCTTTACTCCTGACAGCCAGTGTTGCTTTATTCACAGCCATCACAGCTGCTTGTGCACTGTCTCTGCAAACACGTCCATCCAATCTCAGTAGTCATTAATTGCCAGAGTGCATGGTGTAAAACCACACAAAGCCCACAAAGTAATGGCTTTCAGTTTTTATAAATATATGGTTTGGAATAAAGGTCCTGTTTTCTCTTACAGTGTCTTTTATTCCTAGGAAAACCATCGTTTCCATGGAAAACCATTCCTAGGAAAAATAGTTAAAACAAGTTTAATCCTATATTATCTTGTAGACTCAGTTGATTCAGKGCTCAGTGAATGCAAAACATTACTGTTTTTTCTAAAAGAGCTGAAAGAAAAAGATGTTAAGAAATAAACCAAAAGATAACTTGCAAGAATAAAAACAGTGACACAAGAAGTTTTACAGGTATGTATTCCTTATTTAACAGAGATAAGCAATGGCCTAAAGCATTCACTTTTACTAGAACTAGAGACTACTGGGTATCAGTTTCTCACCAGGCACTTTGACTGCCAAATCAAAGTAACAACAGTTTATTTTTGCCCTTTGAAATGGACCTGCTTTCTAGGTGGGTCAGGCTATCAGAGGCAGAAAAGAGCAATTCTGAGACTTAGCCCCGTGACTCGCGTGAGTTCATGGGTGTGCCATCTCCCATTTTATAACGCCTCAGTTTATCTCTGCCAAACAATAACCTTCAGAATGRAAACAGGTTGTCCGCTGGTTTGTACCTGGCAGCCTCTTCAAACTGTATGTCATCCATGGACGCAGTCACGCAGGACACCCCAGCATGTTTCTCAGCTTCAAAAGAGACACAGGGGCACACAGTTACCACACTGCACCTGCAGGGAGCTATTCACCTGTGGGCTCGTGCCTGAGAGACACAGATGGCACACAGCAGATCCCACTTCTTCCCGTGAACACCGCAATGCAAGTCTGAAGTAGGGCCCTTAGGAAAAAAGAGATGCTAAATAAGATCAAAGCAGATTTTTATCATGATTTCGTGGTTAAAGGGTGTTCTCATTTAAGGCTAACATCAGGAAATGAGACTAGGTGATAGCAGCTATCCTACTCAGCTTGAAAACCTCTATCTAAGGTCTTTTTCTAAAAATGACAATTCTGGTAAGAGAGTATTAATAAGCCTGTTGAAGGACAGAAAGAATCACCAAGTGTGAACAAGCTCACAGAAAGCTCATCATTCTCCCTCAAAACAGTGCGTCACAAACATCAGCTACRGCAATCCAGTGTGGAAGTTTCATGTCAGCTGAGGATTCTGAGATACAGGAGAAAAACCTACAGACTTGTTAGTGTGTCTCAACAGTGGGAAGCAGCTAAGTAGTGTCCTTAGTGCTGTACCAAAAATGGAGGCATTAAATAAAAACTAAGACAAGTAAGATTTAGAAAATCCAAAACCAGAATTCACCTACTGTGAAATATTTTTATCTAAAATGGAACTGTTCTTCATTTTGCCTGGGATGCATTTGTTTGTGAAAAAAAAAGCACTAGTTTTGTATTAATTATGAAAGTCCATCTAGAAAAAGTAAACATGTTTACTGTCAATATTTAATAGCTTGACAGGTAAGTTTTCATAGCAAGTGAATATRATATATTATTTATTTGATCATATCACCTGGAGCTTCCAGTCAGAAGGTAAATCTCCAGTGAATTAGGAGTTGTATAAACATAGGGAACCTCTGCTCTGAAGTCCTGAGTGACAGAGACAAGAGAGGGGACTGGCAGGAAGCCTGGAAAATATGGAAAATAGCACTGCACAAGAGGCAGGAATTCTCAGTYCCAAGCAGCCCCATATTTTTCAYRAGCATCRCAAGAGGAGGYCAGAGAAATCAGAGGATTTAGATCWSTATCTGAGGARYTCCCTTTGAAAATATGAGGGGAAACCACAGTGTCTTATCCAAAATCACTTCTGAGGGATAAAACTCTGATGGGCTGGAATGGAATCACTCCTTTACAAACCCCMAAAAAGAAGCGTGCTCCTTTGGGGAAGCTGCCCTACGCGACGCGATGCTGTGTGATCCCTGCACGGATGGTGGTGGGTGGCACGGCGCTGTCCCCACACAGCGGTCACCTCACAGGGGACAGCCACCCCTGCATCCCTGTACCTCTCCATCCCGGCAGGAGCTCCCAAAACAGCACCAGGGCACTCCGGGCTGTGAATGCATGCGCTGGAACGCAGCTCCTGGCAGCAGCCGTGCGTTCCGTCGCGCTTCCCGGGCAGCTCACAGCACACACTCACAGCTCCACAACTTAGTGAGGAGGCTTGAGGGGCTTTCGAAGCTGAGCTACCTCAGACACGGAGTGCTCTGCACGCTGTTTCGATTTGTGGCTTCTTCACAGAACCGCACAATCCCAGAATAGTTAGGGCTGGAAGGGCCCTCTGGAGATCATCCAGTCCAAYCCCCTGCTAAGGCWGTGGCACCTTTCCTTCTTTTYRTCACAMATGTGCCAATAATCTTAAATTAGTACTTTTCTTTCTTATTTTTTCCCACTTTTTCTTCCCGCCTGCTGCTCCTTTCTCACTCTCCTGTGCCATCTGATGCCTCTCCCTAGAGGTGTCTATTCCTAACTGGACCCCCAAATCTCACAGGCTCCTCSAGAAAGAYGTGGAGCTCCTGGAGCYGGTCCAGCAGAGTCTGCGARGACGAGTGTGGGACTGGAGCATCYTCCTCACGAGGGAAGGCTGARRGAGTTGTGTCTGTTCAGCTTCGAGAAGAGACGGGTGACAGGAGACCTCACCCATGAGTATAAATATCCCAAGGGAGGGGTGTCAGAGCATGGATCTGGTGCCCAGCTATGGGAGACGAGGCAAGTGGCAGAAAATGATGCTCAGGAAATTCCACCTGAACATGGAGCTGGGCCAGGGCAGGCTCAGGCTGGAGATCAGGGAAATGTTCTTCTGTACCCAGAGGGTGCTGGCACTGCCCAGGCTCCCCAGGAAATGGAGGCTGCCAGAGCTGCAGGAGCATTTGGACAGCGCTGCCAAGGATGGATAAGAAGGGATTGTTGGGGTGGCTGGGCAGGGACAGGGGCTGGGCTGGATGGTCCTTGTGGGCCACTTCCAACTCAGGGTTTTTATTCTGTGATTCTATGATGAAGAACTCCTTCAGCACTGCAACAGATTGCCCAGACAGGGTGTGCGGTGTCCCTCAGCCCAGCAGTGTCTGTACGCGATCCTGAGCCCCCGAGGCGGGACAGGATCACCGCTATGGCCCTTCCACCGTGCCCCACCCTGTGACCCGCTATAACCTCCAACCCTCCATGGTATGAAACCTTCCCTCCAGCCTCCCGCTGCCCCCGGGCAGGACCGTCGCCTCCTGCCCCGGGCCAGCCTCGGTACCTGCGAGGCAGGCGGCGGCGTCCATCCATCGCAGCAGCGGCCCGGCGCCCAGCTCGCCGCGGGGCCCGGCGTGGGCCGGCAGCACAGCCTGGCACATGCACACAGCCATGGCGAGGGAAAACCGACAAAACCGACCCTGCTCCGCCCGGCACCGCGGCCAGCGCCGGCCGCCTCAGCCACGGGGCGGGACCGGCCCGCCCCACAGCCCGGCGGCTCGGGGACGGATCGCCTGCGCCGGGGGCGGGACGGGCTGAGGGCGAACGGAGCCCGGGGCTGAGGGGAGAGGGAGCCCGAGATGAGGGGACTGCGGTGTCCAGGGTGAGGGGAGAGGGATGTCCAGGGTGAGGGGAAATCCCTTTCAGCCCGCGCTGAGGGGAGAGGGAGCCCGGGCTGAGGGGAGAGCGGTGTCCAGGGTAGGGGGAGAGGGGTGTCCAGGCTGAGGGGAGAGAGAGCTCGGGCTGAGGGGAGAGGGAGCCGGGGCTGAGGGGAAAGGGATGTCCAGGGTGAGGGGAGAGGGGAGAGGGGAGAGGGAGCCCGCGCCAAGGGGAGAGGGATGTCCAGGGTGAGCGGAGAAGGAGCAGGGGCTGAGGGGAGAGGGAGCCCTCGCTGAGGGGAGAGCGGTAGGGGAGAGGGATGTCCAGGGTGAGGGGAGAGGGGAGAGGGGAGAGGGAGCCCTCGCTGAGGGGAGAGGGGTGTCCAGGCTGAGGGGAGAGGGAACCCACGCCAAGGGGAGAGGGAGCCCGGGCTGAAGGGAGAGGAAACCGGGACTGAGGGGAGAGGGAACCCACGCCAAGGGGAGAGGAAACCGGGGCTGAGGGGAGAGCGGTGTCCAGGGTGAGGGGAAATCCCTTTCAGCCCGCGCTGAGGGGAGAGGGAGCCCGGGCTGAGGGGAAAGGGATGTCCAGGGTGAGGGGAGAGGGAGCAGGGGCTGAGGCGAGAGCGGTGTCCAGGGTGAGGGGAGAGGGAGCCCTCGCTGAGGGGAGAGGAAACCGGGGCTGAGGGGAGAGGGAGCCCGGGCGAAGGGGAGAGGGATCAGGGGCTGAGGGGAGAGGGAGCCCGAGCTGAGGGCGAACGGAGCCCGGGCTGAGGGGAGAGCGGTGTCCAGGGTGAGGGGAAATCCCTTTCAGCCCGCGCTGAAGGGAAAGGGAGCCCGGGCTGAGGGGAAAGGGATGTCCAGGGTGAGGGGTGTCCAGGCTGAGGGGAGAGAGAGTTCGGGCTGAGGGGAGAGGGAGAGGGGCTGAGGGGAGAGGTGTGTCCAGGGTGACGGGAGAGGGAACCCACGCCAAGGGGAGAGGAAACCGGGGCTGAGGGGAGAGGAATGTCCAGGGTGAGGGGAGAAGGGAGCCCGGGCTGAGGGGAGAGGGAGCCCGGGCTGAGGGACAACGGATAAACCGGCCTGAGGGACAAAGGTGTGCCTGGGATGAAGGAGATAGGAGGATGGGGCTGAGGGGAAAGGAGGGCCTGGGGTGAGGGGGAGTGTCTGGGGCTGAAGGGATGGAGGTAATAGGGATGAGGGAAAAGGGACCAGAGTAAGGGTGTGTTGGGAATGAGAGGATGAGGTGCCAGTGCTGAGGGGAATCATGGAATAATTTGGGTTGGAAGGCACATTAAAGCTCATCCAGCGCCACCGCTGCCATGACAGGGACAGCTCCCACTGTCCCAGGTGCTCCCAGCCCCAATGTCCAGCCTGGTTTTGGACACTGCCAGGGATCCAGGGACAGCCACAGCTTCTCTGGCCACCCTGTGCCAGAGCCCAACACCCTCACAGGGATCAGCTCCTTCCCAGTGTCTAATCCACACCCATTGTCTCCGTTTGAAGCCATTCCCCCCTTGTTCTACCACTGTGTACTCTGGTACAAAGTATCTCTCCAGCTCTCTTTAGAGCCTTTAGGTACTGGAGGGTGCCCTAAGGTCTGTCCACAACCTTCACCTCCCCAAGCTGAACAGCACCAGTGAAGGGGTGCTGGTGTGTACAGAGCACCATGGAGTAGATGGTCCCTCCATTCCTGCCCTGGGACTCCCAAGGTCACCTCAGGACCTGGCACCAGCCACTGCTAGTGTTGTGTGTGCACTGCCACTGAAATGTCTCTACTGGC